CACACACACACACACACGCACACGCACACACACACACACACACACACACACACACCGCTCGCGCCCATGCAAATTTTCCTTCTCTTTTTTTTTTTTAATGGTCTCGCGCACCCGTGTGGATCGATCATCTGCTTGTCACAGGCAGGAAATTACCAATAGTTATATATGTACTGACAAACGGGCAAAAAAAAACGAAAAAAAAAAAATCAAAACCACTATAAAACCCTTTTCGGAGTAGCTCTCGAAGTTTGCCAAATTTCTCTCCGAATTCGGCGCTTTTGCCAACATTTTCGAACTGGTCCAAATACGTTGAAACCAAATACAGATTGACCCTAAAGCACATACGTATCACACACACAAAAAAAGAAAAAGCAAAAAAATGGAAGGGAAATATGGCGGTTTCAGCTAGGCTACCAGAGTGGCCCGGGACCACTTGCCCACCAGGCCAAAAAAAAAGAAAAGAAAAAAAAAATTAAAATTAATAATTTTCGTTTTTTTAATTCATTTTTTATTTTAAATCTGGTATCGAATTTCGATGTGACCCTGAGGCAAAAGTTGTTCAGTTTATTTTTCTGCAGAACATACTTTTTTTTCGGATTTTTTGGATTTTTTGGATTTTTTGGATTTTTTTTTCTTCGCTGGGACCTTCCCTGGTCCTCTTGCACGGCCGGACCTCCCGGGAAAATAGAGTGAACCGGGCGGCCCAGCTGGTAGCCTAGGGTTTCAGTGAAAAATTCCTCGAAAATGACACCACCTATTAACCATTAGTGCCCAGCCATGAACACTTCTCGAAATGTGGGGAGTTTCCCCTCTCACTCGGGGCAAGTATGTGCAGTGTGGGCATTGGTTTCCAGTGCAGAAATTTTCCCTGGACTCGTACGTGTTGTGCTTACAGTGTCGGGACGTAAAGGTTCTCCTAGGCTGGTATACTTCGGTATGTGCAGTTTCGGGGACTTAGGGTTTAGGGTGTGGCGATTTGACGCACGGACAGATGAGACGCGTAGTTTCTTTAAGGCGTCCGGAAGGTTTCGGTAGACTCATATGGGTGCAGTATGGAGACATTCAACGAGGTTTTCATTGAATCATTGAGACATTATGCTTAGTGTGTGCAGTATGAGCATTGTTTGGTGTTCAGGGTTTTGGTTTGGGGTTTAGGGTGGAGGCATACGACAGGACAAACGAAAACTTTGCGAAACGCGGAAAGTTTTCTAGATGTGTACATTTAACAAGCGCAACATTTGGTTCTTCTAACAAAAGCAAAAAGGAAAAGAAGAGGAACAGGGTACGGCAGCACAAGCACCCTGATCAGCACTGTACCCTTCCTTCTGCACTCCCTCTGCTGTGGCCTGCTCAACCTGCCGTCCTCTTTCAGCACAGAGACAATGGAATGATTCGCCGTACGCACTATGCTGCCAATAGTTTGTGCATTCTTGCTGTGTAAGCATGTTTCAGACATAGCCCCAATTTACCCAAACCGAGTTGAGGGGGAGAAGTGAAGGATACTGGTAGACAGGCTCCAAAGGACGTGGTGTGGCACCATCATGGCGGGGCATCAGAACTCTCACCGAGTCCTGAGGCTGCTCTTCCGCATTGAACAAATCCGACTTGTCCTTCATACTCGTCTTTAACTTTGCCTTGAGCTCATCTGCATTCTGTTTCATCTGCGAAAACAGAGCCACCACATCATAACAGCCATGAAAACAACATTTACCTTACAAGCTCATCCACCCATCACAACAGCCATGAAAGCAACGCTTACCGCTTACAAGCTCGTCCACCCATCACAAAAAAACGAAATTTTGCACTCCATGTTTATTGAAACTCCCAGTTTGAGCGGCAAAGGCACCCAAAGAGGTAGGCCCCATCTAAATGCAGAGAGGCATATCCTCCACAGCCTAAATCAGAGAGAGCAACAGCACCAAGCATACAAATTGAGGTGAAGAGCCATTTGATCGACAAGAGTCTGTACCGCTGAACGAGAAAATAAGATAAGCACTAGGAAGACAAAAACTGCATCAGACTATTTCCGAAATTTGAGCATTGCACTTTTCGTGAAGACTTTGGCTTCCAGCTGCAGAAGTATTAAAACATGAGCGCGGCAGAGATCTTGAATAGCCAGAAACACGCATGATATTGACAAAGACAGACAAATCGTCAATGAGAACTTTCCCTCGGTACTGCGCACCCCTGGTACGGCATGGTATTATGAACCCCCTTCTCGCTCCTACATTCGTTATAGGGGGCTGCAGCTATCCAGGTAAGTGAACCGCCGGCATTGCACCTATTGATCCTACCATCAGATGAAAACGGCATCCAACATCAGGATGACCACTTCGCTGAAATTTGCAACATTAGAAGTGTGAAATAGTTGGCAGGTGAAATGAAAATCAATGTGACAATCGTTAGATCAACCATGAGCAGAAGTGCAATATACGGGGTTCCTTGAGCCTGAATAAAAGCACAGTGCACGGTCCTTAAATAGGGCATGGACGACAAGGAGGAGGAGGAGGAGGAAAAGGAGAGGAGAAGGGGGGCTGGGCGGGGGGGGAGGGCATGAGCAGGAGGAGGAGAAGGAGAGGAGGACAAAGAGAAGGTGAGAACCAGAGGAGGAGAGGAGGAGAGAAGGAGAATGAAGAGGACGAGAGGCAGAAGGGGAGAAGGGGGAGCAGAAGAAGAAGAAGAAAAGAGAACGGAAAGAAGCGGAGGAGGAAGAGAAGCAGAGCGGGGGGGGAAGTTGATTTTGGGGACGGGAAGGAGTGAAAGAAAACAAGGTGGAGGTGGAGAAGAAAGGGGGGAGGAGAAGGAGAAGTGGAGAAGGGGAGGAGGTAGTGAAATCGGTTTAGAAAAGTTACAATGCACGGTCCCTAAGAAAGCCTAGTGCACATATTTGAAGGAGGCTCGTCTTGACGGCAACTTTGACGTGAAGGGACAAGAGACGCACCTGCACAGTCGTTTCGGGATCCTCTTGGCCAGCACTGACACTGCTGTTTCCCTCCTCTATTTTCAGCTTCTTTGGAATCGGTCCAGGTCCATTACTTTGGGCATTGGACAGTCCAGCCTTGGATCCTGCTCGTTCTTGGTATGCAGCAAGAAGGGTTTCCATCAGGAACTTTTCTGCCTCAGAGTTACTGGAGGATGGCATGTCGCTTGCGTTGGGAGGGTAAGTCGTCTGATCAAGCCCTCCCTGGGACTGCCCCCCCTGATCAAATGAACCCTGGTATTGCTGTCTTGCAGGGTCGAACTGATCCTGGGAGGGCCTTAAGTGGTCATACTGTGCCTGTGGAGGCAAAGGCCTTCCGTGAGCATCAAACTGTCCTTGTGCAGGGGGAGGCCTTCCACGGTCATATTGCCCCTGAGAATTGGGTGCCCTCGAGTGATCGTACTTTGATTGGGGCTGCCTTGCATTGTTATGGAATTGCCCCTCTGGTTGCCTTGAATTATCAAAGTGATTCGGAGCCATCCCTCCACTCTGAGCATACTGCCGCTGTGCCTGTCCTGACTGATTAAACTGTCGTCGGGACGCATTCACGGCAACAAGCGAGTCTGGGATCGTGGTTGGTTCTGCATCTGACCCTCTCCGTAGCTGCCCCTTCTCTCTCTTGCGCCTATCCATTTGGCGCTGCTCTCCACACATACAAAATGGTCACCGATTTCACCCACCAGACAAAAGATAAATCAGAACAAAGTTCCATCATGATCGACTCGCTTTGGCAAAACCAGACTGCACATCTACCCACAGCAGAACCACGGAAACTGTGCCCATGAATACCTTCCAGCTCCCCAGGCTGCCGCGACTAATAAGAGCATTGCCTTTCCAATCAATCCACGGCCAAGTCCTCGAAGCGGGCTCCCCACCAGCAATTACATTCGCAGCACCAGCGAGCATATACCCTACAACATGCTACAGTCCACTGAGCAAGCGCACAAGAGCATTGCTTTTCGGATCAATCCATGGCCAAGTCCTCGAAGCAGGCTCCCCACCAGCAATTTTATTTGCACCACCAGCGGGCATACCCTACGACATGCTACAGTCCGCTGAGCAAGCGCACTCGCGATCTCCCCTATGCAGCATGTATCTCCCTTCCCAGATTCCCACCTAGACCAATTAGACGACTTGCGAACAAAGTTGATTGCACAGAGTTATATGGGCAACTGCCACCCACGCTCCCGAGAGGCCAACAAGGGTACTGTCAAGATGGTCAGATTGAACCCTGTCCAGCCATTCGAAGGACTGGATGACTGGCTATGGTGGATGTGCCCTATCTTGCGCATACACTTGAAAAGCAAGGTACCTGGTCGGCCCAAGCAGACCTGTACTATCATTTTCCCGCAAACAAAACACACCCTCGTCATGACCGTACTGGACAAACCAGATAGCAGCTAACAACTCATGACTAGCGTGTGTTTTGTTCAGGGGACTATGGTAGGCTGCAGAAAGGCTCTAGAGGGTAGCACGATGCAGTAGAACGGTTCGTGCAAGAGGAAGACACATGGGCAATTCGTGCCCACGATATTATTCTTCATTGGTTCCGAAAGCTCTTGGAGAATAACAGTGCTCTAAGAGGGTGGTGATCCTCGATTGTAATTGCACAACAATAATTAAACACTTGCCAGAGCAGGGTAGAGAGAACAGGGACTCCGCAATTTGTGTCATTCCAGGTGCCACAGCGCGGTAGCGAGAACAGGGCTTCTGCTATATTTGTCATTCTGCTCTCCGACTTACCGGGCTTCTGGGCTTCATATTCATTCTACCGTGATATTTTGCATGAGACTAAGGTTGAAAATTGGTGGTGGTTCATTGCGCTTGTTCGCTGTGAATCGCACTGGGCAAGTCTGAACCCAGCAGCGAGAGAACACATCTTCAGAGTTCTGAATCGGACCCCAAGAGAAGAACAAAAGTCACCTTGCCCTCAGCATATGCTTCCTGTTGGGTATTGTGCTAGATTAGCTTGAACAGGCATGGGTATACAGAGGGGAAACTGAGAGTTTGGTCATTCCTTCAATGATATCCAACGGTCTTTTCCCACAAAAACATGAAGTGACTGTGCATATGCTGAACATTGTTAGGTTCCGTGCACACCAATCAAGTCGAATTATTTTACAGTCTCACAGTTTTACACTGCATCCACTGCAACCCTCCAGTCTTACCTTCTGCGTCATTAGCAAAGCAGATACCCTAGAACAGTTTTTCAACTGTCTGCCGTGAAACTTCAATCCACCAGTATGTCCAAGGCTCTTTCTCCCGAGAGCCAGGGTTGCATGCCTGCCGACCAGCGACCCCGACCGCCGACTGTTTTGCAGCCGACCAGTAGGGTCTGCTGGCCAGAAAGAAAACAGCCATCATCTGATTTTTTTTTCAAATCTTAGTTTAGGGCTGTACTGCGCTCGCTGAGTACATCCCAAATCCGCAAGAAACTTTTGGGGATGCGGGGAGGTAGGGAGGGTCGGGCGGGGTATAGGGGTGTCATAAGGGGTACTAGGGGACCTGTTGCGTCTATGCGCGCAATAATGAAGGCAGGCACAGTAGCAAAGCGTAGTAGCCTAGATTCGTGCTCTTTTCTTTATTCACTTCGACTGCTCCGTAGGCGATCTGGGATGAAATGGTGTAATTGAGAGAGCCTGGGGGCACTATGGTGTAATTGAGAGAGCCCGGGGGCACTTGTTGAAAGTCCCCATCGAGTATAAGAGTGCCATTATTGTTAAGCAGATCTCTCCTCCCTTCCCCTTCCCCCCCCTCCGTAGGCGTCTGGGCTGACATGGTGTGATTGAGAGAGCCTTGGGGCACTTCTTCGATCAAGTATAAGAGTGTCATTATTGTTAAGCAGATCCTTCCTCCCTTCCCCTTCCACTCTCTCTCTCTCTCTCTCTCTCTCTCTCTCTCTCTCTCTCTCTCTCTCTCTCTCTCTCTCTCTCTCTCTCTCTCTCTCTCTCTCT